GTGAGCTCCAGCAACTCAGTTCTCTTTAAGCCTCACCTTACTCACCTGTTTAAAAAAAAAAAGTCATTTTTTTTTTCTGGGGTTGCTGTAAGGAAGGAAGACCCCGTGTGTCAGATGTCCAGTTGCTGCCAGCATTTAGGCTGTGTTCATGCCCTCCCCATCATTTCACCTTCATTCAGGGGATCCTGAACTGGTGAAAGGTACCTGCTCTGAGGTGTGAGGTGCCTTTAGGCCATGTGTGCCTGGCCTGACATTCCCCAAAATTTGTGGGAAAAGTGTAAGAAGGTAGGCTGTGTAGCGAGAAGAAGGCACTATGCCCCACGACATGCTCAGGCCCTTGGTTTCTGGGAGGGGAGGGGCAGTGGGTATAATGGCTTCCTTGGCTCTAAAGCAGGCACCCCCTCAGGAGCCTGGAGGCTGCCAGAGGAGCAAACCTGGGCATCAAAAGCAGGCACAGTGGTAACAAGAGCAACCCACCCCCGCCCCCATCCCAGCTGCCACATCAGCACCCAAAGTCCAGACTCTCAGACCATCTACCTAGGAACCTTCTTCTTGAGCTGATCTGGCTGCCAGAGGAGCCTTGGAATTGTCCTGCTCCGTCCCCAACCCCCAGCCAGGACCTCTGGCCCCACCCTCCTCTAGCTTTAGCGAGCATCAGGACCAACCTTGGATCCCTCCCCAGCTGTCCCAGGGCCGCCCCATTGAGTCATTGCCTCCTGCTCCCTCCCTGTCCTTCTGCTGCCCACTGTCTGCCCACCCCTAGCCACCAGCCAGGCCTCCTAGGAGCGCTAAGATCTGGGGGGACCTGCTGGCAGGCACACATATCCCCTCCAATACCAGAGGCCAGTAAGAGGTCCCAAGCCACAGGCCATAGCTGACCCCAGGACTGCCGGGCACGGGCAGCAGATAGATTCAAGGTCAGGGGCAGCCTTGGTTTGTTCACTCCACATAGAATGTGCATTGTAGCTTCATGAAAACAGAGTGTACTGTCTGCTTCTGTACTTCCAGCACTTAACATAGGGCCTGTCATAAATGCCTAGGGGTGCCTGAGAGTGGTCACATTACCACCTGCCCTCCTGAGGCTCCCCATCCTTGAGCCAGATGTAAACTAGAGTCACAAATAGAGACAGATTCAGAGGCTCAGTCTGAAAGGAAAACGGAAAAGGCAGAGAGCTAACCGACGCACAGCCCTAGGATGGCAAAGATATGGGTAGAAATGGGGACACACAGAGGCCTAGTGGGGGAACACTGGGGGCTGGGCCTGGAACCAACCCAGGCCGCTGACCACAGCAGGCTCTGCAGGGCTGAGCTTGCAGGACTGAGTGACTCATGGGGCCCATCTCTGTGGCTCTGCTGGCAGCAAAATTCACTCACAGCAGCCTTTTCCACTGAGATCATAAAATGGGGTTGGGCCTCCCTTCCCTACCCCTTCCCCAGCCTTCCCTCAGCCTCCCATTCCTTGCCAACATAAATCAATCAAAAATAAGATGGGGGCTGTGGGCCTAGTGATAAGAGACCCAAAGTCATTGCCCTTACTCCACCCCAAACCTTGCACACTCTCTTCAGTACTGCCCCAGACAGCAAGGGTGATAATACCAGACTTCCAGACTTTTCTCACTTTTGGCCTAAATAAACTCCAAACTCCACACTGGCCTAGAAAACTCATCTGATCACAAATCTTGTCTCAAACGTGTTCATCTCCCCTGGTCAAAATCCTTCCTCCTTCAAAACCTGGTTGCAGCTTAGGTCACCCCGAAGGCCATGTCCATCATCTTGCCCAGTCAGGTGGTGAGCCATGGATAAGCTCCTGACTTGCTGAGTCTCCTACATCCCACATGCCTGCCTCTCCACCAGCTCTGCTCACCTGCTTTCTCCCCCTCCATCTCTGACTAACCCTGTCTTCCCAGATGTCCAACTATCCTTAGTTACCCAGCGCCAAGCCCAGGAGCCCCTCTGCACCCCTTCCTCCTACACCGTGGATTGTGTGGATTTAATTTCTACCACCTTTCTAATCTAAAAATTCTCAAAGAATGTCATCTTTGTGATCTCCCTCACAAGGAGCTGCTTAAGATTACAGATCTCTGGGTCCCCATTGCTTTGCTAAGTCAGAACCTTGGGACAGGCCCAAGGAATTTACATGGCTTTTTTTTTTAAAGATTTATTTTTAGAGAGAGAGGGAGTGAGGAGGGGGAGGGGCAGAGGGAGAGGGAGAGAGAGAATCTCAAACAGACTTCCCGCTGAGTGCAGAGCCCCGACATGGGGCTCAATCTTAGGACCCCGAGATCACAACCTGAGCCGAAACCAAGAGTCGGATGCTTAGCTGACCGAGGCACCCAGGTGCTCCAGGAATCTGCATGTTTGACAGCTCTCAGTGATTGTGACCCTAAAGTCTGAGAATGGCTGCCTGCCCTCTCCAGTCTCTTCATGTCCCTAGGCTGCTTGAGCAGAACAAGCCTCCTGTCTCCAGCCTTCCCTTCTACCAGTCTATCCTCCACCCGGGGTTTCTTTCATTCCATCTGGCACCAACTGCGTTTGAGCTCCCTAAAGCGTATCACTGCCCACACCACTCCCCGGATCACAGTTCTCCCAGGCCAGCTCTCTGCCACCTCCACAATTCAGCAGCGTACCCCCACCCCCACCTGTGTGTCCCTGGCTGGTTTCTCCAGAGCACATCACCCACTGCTCCTAGCTTTTTGCCATGTGTGCTCTGGGCATGCTGCTCTTCACACACACACACACACACTCCAAATTTGCCTGTATTGTCTGAACCCCTACACACACACGCACACACACACACACACACTTTCACACCCACTAGCTCCTCACAAAGCCTCCCCAGATCTCCTCAGAGTCCCACAGCACTTTCCTTGCTCCTTGCCTTACAGTATAAGACCTGTAATGGCAAACATTAACGATCCCTTACTGTGGGCCATGCTGTATACTAGGTTCTTCTCATTTTTTCATTTCATCCTGACAGCAAACTTATAAAATAAGTATACTTGCCATTCCGTCAGAGATGAAGACACTGAGGCTCACAGACAGTATGTAACGTGCCTAAGCTGCCATAGCTGGTAAGTGACAGCTGGACTGTTAACTATTAGGTCCTGTCACTGCCAGCTCTAAACAATGTGAGGGCAAAGCCCAAGTCACTCCTCTTTTCTCCCCATTTTCCCATTCGTAGCCCAGAGAAGGTAAAGTGTTTATCGACTACCTGTGTAACCTTCGCAGTGTCGAGAGTCCTTCAGATCTATAGAGACAGAAAGTAGGTTAGTGATTACCTAGGGCTGGGCAGGCAGGGGATGATGAGTGCCTGCCAGTGTGCACAAGGTTTCCTGGGGATAATGAAAATGTTCTAAACTTAGATTGTGATGAGGTTGTACAACTCTGTGAATATATTAAAAACCACTGAACTATACATTTTAAATGGTTGAGTTTTGTAGTATATGTGTTATATCGCAATAAAGATGGATGTCTTCTTAAAAGTCCTTTAGACACAGTGGGAATTGAATCTGGGGCTGCTATTGTCTAAGGATTTTGGTCCCTAGATGTTTCTGGACCCCACACTACCCACTTTATAGTGTAAACTCGAGTGGTAAGCAGCTCCCTTGAGATTGCCCTCCCACCTGCCATGGGCAGAGGACTTCTGTTTATTTGTCCTACACCTGCCTTCAGGTTTTCAAGGAAGGCTTATCTGGTCCCAGTATGTGCTGGCTACATCTTTGGGTACCTTGGGACCTATCTTCTGGGGTCTCTTTTCCTGCTGGCCTCCCTATTTTAGAGTGGACTCCCAGTTCTGTGACGCTGTGCCCATACAACGATCCCTGGACAGCCACTGCAGGCCCCGCGCTCAGGGTACCATGTTGGGAAGGTATGAGGGAGGAGGGAAAAGAAGGCCAGAGGGCCTAACAGTCCTTCCCAGGATCCCCCTCCATTCTCTCTCCTAGAAGCCCCAGGGCAGGCAGTTGTAAGGTTCTATTTCCCTCATTAGATACCCCAGTTGCCCCCGCACCCCTAGGACCCCCAGACAGATGGACACAGGACACCCATTCATCTGAGAAATGTTTAATGTGTCTTAGGTTCAAGATACAAGACACAGGGCAGGTGCTAACCCCAGGAAATTTACCTGCCACCCAGTCAGCCCCCTTCCCACTGCAGCCAGGCATCCCAGCCCCCAGAGCAGTGGGACGGTGGCCCTTTAATACCTGGCTCCTTTCCTATTTGGGGAATGTCAAGGTGGTCATGGCCCAGAGGCCACTATCTCCCTTCCTCAGAAAATCCAGACCCAGGAATCTGAAAGATCCAGACTTGGATACAGAGCAGCTGATCTTCAGAGTGACCCCTGCCAAGAAACAGCCCTGATCTGAAGCCTGGCCCAGCCCTATGGCCTTGATCCTGTAAAAGGAAGAACTATGGCCCCAATAACTGGCAGCAAAGGGAAGGGAATAAAGAATTGGACACAGGTTCCCACTGCCCCCCCCCCCACAAAATTGGCTAGAGGTAGCTGACCCAACAGGGCAGCAAAGCCTAAGGTTGAGGCCTGCTCCACCTCCCACCCCCATCCCTCTGAGGACCAGCCCCTTGAAGAGCCTCAGTGCCGGGGCACTGTCCTTGAGCTGATGCTGGGGAGTGGGTGGAGGGCAGGAAAGACCAGCATCAGCTATGGAATGATGCCCTTGCTTTGGGGGCAGGAACAGCTGACAAGAGTGACTGTAGGGGGACCCACTGAGGAAAGGGCATCAGCTTCCCAAGTGGCTGGGCCTAGCCCCTAGAAGTTCTGGACGGGGTCCTGAGCCAGGGTAAGGGCCTTACTGAAAGGGAAGGTGGTGAAAGGGTCCCTGTGAGGACCAGTCCAGGATACCCTTCTGACCTGCCCCAAGGAAGCCCAGTTGCTAGTTCAGGCTCCTCTGGCTCCTTGTTAGGCTAAGGGGGCTCCTCTGACCATTGCCCAGGGAAGACTTCCCATGGTCGTCCAGCCTCCTGCTCCTCCTTGAGTCCGTGGGCTACAGCCGGCCACCTTTGTTGAACTGGATGCACCAGTGGGAGTTGGCTGCGCGTGGGCTAAGGTGGGTGCGGTCCTCGTGTCCCATGAGGGGCTGCAGCTCCTGCTGCTGGGGGATATCAGCGCTGCTCTCACTGCGAGAGCGGCCCGCTTTGGCCAGGCTTGGGGGAAAGGCGAAGCTAGGGCGTGGATCATAAGGCAGGTCGAAAGGGGGCTGGGGCTCTTCAGCGGCCAGTGGGCAAGGAGGCAGGCGGGTCATAGTCGGGGCCTGGGTACAGGGCGGGGACGCCAGGCTCTCCAGGGACGAGATGCTCTGGTTCCAGCCCGCCTGCATGTCCACGGGCACAATCTTGGTGGTTTCCGAGGACACGTAGACTGCCAGATCTCCCTGCCCACTCTTCCAGGGTAGCTCCTTCTCTGCACAGGTTGGGGAGGGGGGGATGATGCGTGGGCTTGGGCACACCTCAAGGCTCCCTGGGGACAGAGAGTACATATGCACTCATTAGTAACACAGTGGAATCCTTTTCAAGTATCACCACGTTGTTGTAAATAAATTCATTCCACATTTGCCCTAATACATCCATATGTGCGATTAGTTGATGAGGGCAAGCTCTCCATTGTATATCCCCAGCACCTAGCACAGGGCTGGGCACAGAGTAGTTGCTCAGCAAATACTGACTAAATGAATGAAGGTAACTCAAGAGAAAAGAGGCGCCAGGCAGGAAGAAAGCCCATCTGTGATCAGTCCTCACCAACTTGCAGCGCTGGCCTCAGAAACCACATCCTGCCAGGCCCTGTCCCAGAGGAGACAGCATTGAGGGTGAGGAAGACCTCGAGGCTCCACGCCAAAGGCTTTGGTGCCGGACGCCCTGCCTGAGCACCCACCACAGCCCTTTGGTGCACCAGAGCCCAGGAGAGTGAGCTCATGCAAACCCCATAGCAGGCGAGACGCTGTGCCGCAAAGGGGACCTGAGCCAAGGAGTCCCAGCACTGCTGGCAGCCAGCATGGGAGACCGGGCCACTGTGTGACAGGAAGTCCGAGGTTCTGAAAGAGGGGAAGCCCCCTGGCCACCTCCCACGCCCTGCTCTCCAAAGTCAACACAATGCCTTGCATATAACAGGTGCTCGGTCTGTACCTGCTCATTGATAAAGTCCTGCGCAGTCGAGTACATTATGAAATGTATGATGCTGTGATTGGAAGTAAAACTCCCTCTCTTGAAAGACCGGGAATATTAAATTTTAACAACCACCACCACGAGACTAAACAACAACAAAATTCAGTCTTCACCTTTGGAGGAGGCTTCATTGGCCTGAAAACTGTTAAGTGAAAGGAAAAAAAAATCAAGCATTCATCTATTCTTTCCTGTATGAACTGCCCCTCAAAGTAATGAAGTCACTGATGTGAAGTTCTTTTTATAGAAGAAGTGCTGGTAATGCAGATGACAAAGGAGATGGAGAGTATGACCACTGTGCAGCCCCGGATGCAGTGCTGGGTCTGGCGATGACCGTGAGCGGCTGCTAACACTGCCGAACAGCTACTGGTGAACTTCCCAGTGGGTGGGCCAGGTTACCATCTGAACCCAGTGGTCAACAGTAACCTCACAGAAGACAGACCCCAGAGGGGATGTGTTTCCCGATGTGACGCGGTACCAAGTACGCCATCACCGCCACTCAAAAATTCTTAGCAAAACATCTAAACTGACATCTGATCGAGATTTAATGACTGGTTTAAAAGAAATATAAGGCACAGTGAAACATATTAAAATGATGCTTTGGGGATTCCGTCAGCAAAATCCAGACAAGGAAAGACTGGGACAAATAACCAGATTATTTCCATAAATACATGAGAAGGAAAAAAAGGAGGGGAGGACCCGTAAATCAGGGTTACTCAAACTTGACATCACTGACAAGATGGAACAGATACTTTGTTGTAGGCTGTCCCATGCATTAGAGGACATTTAGCAGCGTCCCTGGCCTCTACCTGCTACCTGCAAGCGCGCCTCTCCAGTTGTGGCAACCAAAGATGGCTCCGGATATTGCCAAATGTCCCCTGCAGGCAAAGTCACTCCACTACCACCCCCTTGAGAACCACTGCTGTAGGATAAAAGAGACTTAGCAACCAAATGTCATGTGTGGGGCTTGTATGGATTTTTATTTGAAATCTACTGCAAAAAAAAAAAAATTTAAGACAATCAGGGAAATTTGAACATGTGACAAAGACTTTAGATATGATAACGGTATTGTGAGTAATATTTTTTAGGAAGAATCCTTATCTTTTAAAGATACATACTTAAGTATTTATTGATAAGGTGATATGATATCTGAGATTTGCTTCAAAAGAACCCAGTGAAGAGACGGGCATAGGTGAGGGGATAGATGAAATGAGATTCGGAGTAGGTAATTATTGAACCTGGGTAATGGGTAGATGGAAGTTTATTATTCTGGCTATTGTGTATTTTGCAACTTTCTATAATAAACATTTTAGAAATGACACCTGAGGATGCTGGAGCCAACTAGCAGTGATATTATGAGTAAGTTAGGTCTCCACATATGGAAACACGTATATATTGTTTTTTATCCGCAATAATGCCGTTTTGATGAATTCAGACCCCTCCCCCAGGCCAGGCTGCCACCCTCACCAGGGGCTCTACCTGAGGGCAGGTGTGCTGAGCATGGGTCACAACAGAGCCTGGTGTTTGGTTTGCTTGTCGCCTCGTATGCCTCGCCAGACTGTAAAGGGAGGCTGGGAGGCAGTGACAAAGCTGCAGGCTTTGGAGTCAGATGGGTCAGGTTCAAATTCTGGTACTGCTGTGGGATCATGGACAGATCTCAAGACCCTTTGGCTCTATGAGCTCAGTTCCCCCATCTTGGTTGTTGTGAGGATTGAATCAGATCAGGCATGTCAGATGTCTGATTATAAAGGAGATGCTCGGGAAATGCTGCTTGGTGAATAAATGAGTAGGAAAAGGGAGTTGTCTGGAGGGAAGGCCAGAGGGAAGAGGGAAGAAGGTGGCTGCACAGCCCCAGCCTGCCCGAGGGGAGGTAGGCTGGGAGGAAAGCATTACCTGAGACCTTGCCCTCTTGAAGAACCTCACTGGTGGCCCGAGCCACAAAGATGATCCCCTCGTCGTCCTCCTTCTCTGTCTCTGAACTGTCACTCTCCTCCTCCTCCTCCGACTCCACAGTTAAGATCACAGCAGCTGGACGGGGACAAGATGAGTGGGGATGGCCAGCCCGGCAGCTGCTTCTTGGTGCTGCCTAAGCCCAAGCCAGCTCTCCGTCCACCCAGGCAAGAGCCCATGGCTGGCACAGCCCCCCACCTTCTCCTCTGGCTATTTCAGCACTAGCCTAGGGGTTGGGGCTGGAGAGGAACGGAGGTGGGGCTGCAGAGCCCCTCCTCAGAGGAAGCCAGCGGGGAGGTCCTACTTTCCAGCCCCTCCATCCTGTTCTCTCAGACCTGGACCCGTCATCAACTGAAAACATGAGCATCTGGAGAGGTGGAAGGCCCATCAATGCTCAGCTCATCCAAACTCCTGGTTTTGCAGACAGGACACTGGGCTCGGGGACACCCATCCTTCAAGCTCCCCCCTTCTCCATGATACTTTCCTCCAAGTCCTCAGGGCCTATAACCTGTAGTTAGCTACCAGACACCTCCCGCCACAAACAGAACTGCTTAGAACATGGCCAGCTTTGAAATCAAGTAAGCCCATCAGGTCCCCGAAGGGAGGAGCCTCAGCCTATGGCACTGAATGCAGCACAGAGGGGATCCTCCAGGTTTTGGTTGATGGGCCTCTGCCCTCCCACCCCATCCTCAGCCCCACCCCCACTCCCTGCTTGCCTGCATCCTGAAAGCCCAGGTCTCGAGGAGGTTTCCCATTTGTGGCCTCAGTGTTAGCCAAGCCATCCTTCTGAGGACCAAGAAAAAAAACCCTAAGCCTCTGATTGTGGCTCAAAACCCCAACCCTGTTGTCTGATAGGGTCTCCCTGACACAGCGGGGCTGGGAATCTGTGTCAATCCCAGTGGTTCCAACCACCCGGGGCACCCCAGGCAAGTGTTGTGGAGTGTAAGTAACCTATGCCCCAGCAAGGGCTCTGGATGCCTCAGCCTGGGCTGAATTAGGGACTCATGGAGCTCCCCCGGCCCCTGCCCCCAGGAACCTGCCTTTCTCTTGCTGGGTTCATTTCTGGTAGGAGGTCCTGCTGCCTCCCAGCAGGTGACTGCCCACACAGCAAGAGGCAGATCTCCCCCAGAAGGCCTCGCCTTACCCTTCTGGGACTCCAGGAGGATGCAAAAGGGAACACAAGCTATTGCACCCACCAAGGCCTTGAGGATTATCCAACTCGGGGTCCCCCTGGGCTGGATTCCAATACTTGGGAGCTTGAAACTATGCGCCATCAGCCTCCAGCCCCAAACAGAAGTCCCAGAGAAAGCACGTGCCTTCTTGCGACTGGTCTTGCGAGGTCGTGGCTTGCTCTTGTTGAGGCAGATGTTGTGCTTGGTGGACTTAAAGGACTCTAGCCGCCGCTTCATGTTCTGCTGGAAGATCTCCTTGTCCTGCCGTTCCTGAGCATCCTCTGAGATGAAGTGGCGGCTGCAGCTGGCTTTGTACTGGCAATGACAGCCCCGCCCTGCCATGAGGCTGGGAGCCTTGGCCTCCCACAGGAACCCAGGCCACAGCACCATGTGCACCATAGTCCCTGCCAGCCCAGTTTTTCCAGAACCAACCATGGATTAAAAAAACAAAAAATACAATAGGAACCCAGCCAGACACTCTGTATTCTCAATTCACCGGAGGAAAAACTTTGTATCACGAATCCATTCCCCCCAAATCTCGCTGTCTCTATCCTCTACTGCCCTTCCCAATGCCCTCTGACTTGAAGTAACAAGAGGCAGGAGACCCTGTATCTTGTCCCTCAGGGCTACTATGAGACTGTGGGGGACATTTCCTTCTTAGCACTTCCATTTAGGAGCCTGGTCCCCTGTGCCTGTCCCCTCCCCAACCCCCAGTACACAGGATTCTCCCTCCACAACGAACTCTCCAGCCAGCCATTTCTGCAAAAACTTTGGACTTCCAGAACTATCTCTCCTGACACCCTAGACCCTCTTGGTCCCAACAGCCACCTGCACCCAATTCAGGACCACCCCCATCATCTGTTCCTTCCCACTCTTTCTCACAAAGACCAAGCCCACTACGTAGCTACCTAGACTGCCAGATAGAAGTACTGCCATTTGGTCTGAATCATTTCATCTGGGCTCACCTCCCCAGTACGATCTTTTCCTATGCTTCCTATTTTCTGCTGCCCTGAGCCAGTTCTAAGAGCTCCCTTCAAGTCTCCCATCTACCCTCCTCTACCTAATCATCCAGAGGGACCCCTCTCTCCTGGGGGTGCTGGAATCAGCTCCCTCACAGGCCTCCCCCTGAACCCTGGCCCCTGTTTTGCTCAACCCACTCCTCCCTGCCTCCATCAGCTCCTGGCTCCCTCCCATTCCCCCTGCCCCAGGACCTTCACTCCTCCCCTCACCATGCCCATCCCCTGCCTTTAAGCATGCTCCTGCCCATATTCCCCTGAAGAAAGCCTTTCCACTGAAGCCAATGCTTCCCTTTTGCTGCCAAACTTTTATACTATGATTCTGACACTTTCCCTCATACCCATTACTTTCTTAAAAACAGAAATGTAACTCCAGGGTTCACGAGTCCATGGTGCTGCCTTCTCCCTGGTCACCAGTGCCATGGCATGGCCTCTGGTTAGGCGCTGACCTGACCTCTGTGGAGCATCCAGCTGTCCTGCCCCAGGCCTCCGAGACACCACCTGCTACAGCTCCTCTCCCCTCCTTTGCTGGTTCCCCTTCCTTTTCTCCCATGTGGATTCCTCACAGTGTTGTCCTTGGCCCTCCTCTCTCCCCTCCAAATGTTCTCCACAGTGAACTAGCCCTTCCCCTAGCTTCAGCTAGCCTCATGATAGAGACCATGACACCATCAGACCAACTGCATTTCAATCACCTGCACAATTTACTAAGCCCACAGATTTTTAGTCCCATTCCATACTACAAAATCAGAATCTCCAGGAGGTGAAGCCAGGAATATGTATTCTAGCAAGCTGCCCCAGGGGATTCTGATGTCACCAGGTGAGAAAACCTCTGATGATAAAGATTGCTTATAAATCGCTAGTTCTAGGGGCGCCTGGGTGGCTCAGGTTGTGATCCCAGGATCCTGGGATTGAGCCCCACATCGGGCTCCCTGCTCAGTGGGAAGCCTGCTTCTCCCTCTCCCACTCCCCCTGCTTGTGTTCCCTCTCTCTCTCTCTCTTTCTCTCTGTTAAGTAAATAAAATCTTTTAAAAAAATTGTTGGTTCTAGCCCTTATCTCTCTCTTAAACTATCATCTCCTATTTGTAACTGCATACTAAACACTTCTGTCTCTTTCTGATGACATTTCTCTCTCTCTAATGACATTTCTGTGAAGAACACGAAGAATTACAGATTGTGTTATGGTATAACTAAGTGGACTCAGAACTAGTTGAGTAACCATACCCAAAAATGCTTGATCCATGTCAGTCTGGAGGAAAGTCTTTGGTAGCATGCCACAGGGCTCTGTTCCTCAGCTCTATCCTGTTCAACATTTTATGTTGATTTGGATGAATACAAAGTTAACAGGCTTAGTAAATTTTCACATGATGTGAATCTGAACAGATATTTGGTGCCAGACATGGGATCCAAACGATGGAATGATAAGCTAAATCAAATAAGATGACATTTAACAGGGATAAGCACAATCTTACTCCAGTTTTTTTTTAATTGACTACATAAGAATTGCACCCATTGACCAATCTTACGTACACACATCCATAGACAACCAATCATTACGTACATCCTGATGTGATACAATAAGAAATACATAGCATACCTACTGAAAGTTCCTGAATCTGACCAGGCCTCTAGATTTAACTACCAGGAAATACAGGGGATGGAGAAACATGTTAAACACCACCACTGGAATACAATCAGTAAAATCCATAAAATGGGAAATTCTCTGAGACAAAGTATCCAGTTTCTTCATAAATAAGCAAGTGGGTGAAAAGGAAAAGGAACTATTAGAGATTTCTTCTTTAATAAAGAGACATAGTTACCAAATGCAAAGTGTGGACTTTATTTGGATCCTGGTTTAAACAAACCATCTGGAAAAAAGATGTTTATGAACATTGATTGGATATTTCATGTGAGAAGGAATTATTGTTATTTGTTGTGAGTGACCATAGTACTACTATTATATATATATGTATATATATATATACATATATAATATACATATACATCAATACATATAGAGAGTTCCTGCCACACAGAGACACATATTGAAATATTTAGAGGTGATATGATATGATATGTCTGGAGTTAAGATAATAAAGTGTGGATGGGGTGAGGTGGGGGTACAGCATGTTCCAAGATTAACCATGCATTGATAGAGGAGCTGAGCGATGGCTACACGAGAGTTATTTTATTCTGTCTAGTTTTGTGAATGAGTAAAATTTGCCTTGAGAAAAAAGTAAACAAAATGAAACAAAAACCCCACAGGTTGGATAAGACAGAGTTTAACAGTCATTAACTGAGGAAGATCATGGGGGTGTGTCTAATTGTAAGGATAATATGGAGCCTCAGAGTGGTAAAACAAAGCTGGGGGGATTCTGAGCAGTGGGAAGAGAATGGCAAATTCTAGAGCTAAAAAGGTAAGAGAGCCCCTATGCCATGCCCTGACCAACCACAGCTAGAGGAGCCTTCTGGGCCTTGTTTCTTGTGACCAGAGAAGACACACCAGGGAGAGGCAATGCTGACTTGAGGGCAAGAGGGCCTGTGTGAAAGGGAACTGTCTTGGAACCTTTGAAGGCTTATCTGCAGAACTGCAGAGAGTCAAATTAGGACCAGTGCCACCGAGTTAAGGGAAGCCAATTCCGTCTCAATGAAAGAAATAACCTGGACTGTTTCAGCTGCCAGGAATCGTAACAGCTGCCTTCCCGGTTCAGAAAAGTTCAATGTAATGGCTTGCTGCCCTCTTGTGGGGTTGCAGCAGATTCCCTCCCGGATGCGCTGGGCCTTCTAGCCCCAAAGCTTCCTGACCTGCATTAGGCTAACATTACCTAAAAGAGATGCCTGCCTTCCCCATGCTAAGCTGGTCCCACAGGCTTCCTCCAGCACTTCTGCTTCTGTCTGTGACCCCATCAAGCCCTCTGTAGTCTGTCCCCTCCTCTCCCCTTCAGGACAACCACCCAATCCTATGTGCTCCTCTCCCTTATCACCACCCAGGTCTGATCTGGTGTTTCAATCTGGCCTCCCAACTGGCTCTCCCCGTCTCTCACCTCACCCCTCCAATTTGGTCTGTGCTCTGCTACCAGAAGAAGACATCTTTAAACAGTGCTTGTATCAGGCCAACCCTTTCTCAAAAAAAAAAAAAAAAAAAACTAAACTAAAAGTTATTACAACAAGATGAAGCCCACGCTCTTCAAATGGGTGTTTTTAGCTCTCCACAAGCTGGTGCCAACTGCCTCTTGAGCCTGTAGTCATGGCTTCCCCAGACCAACCTTCCCCAACCCCCCTGCCCCAGCTCCCCTTGGAACTCTCACACCCTGCCTGCTCTCACCCTGCGGCGTGGCTTGTAGAGGCCTCCACAGAGCAGATGGTGCATCACAGCATCCTCACGGTCCCGGCCGCTGCGCACTGTGTCAATCACCTGCAGATCCAGACACGCTCCACTGCCACTCTCCCTCCTGCAGGAGGCAGGGAACATGTGTGCGGGGAGGGGCCAGGAGGCACAGGCCAGGGGGAGGGCAAAAAGCAAAGGTGCCCACAAATCTTCCCCAAAAGGGATGCATAGAGAGGGCCCAGTAGAGAGGAGCTTGAGGAATTGGAAGGGGGCTCAAGGACTTACAGCAGGTTGGTGACAGAGGTCTCTGCCACAGAATTGCGGCTGGGCATAGAGGGCAGAGTGAGCCCTGTGGAGGACAAGATATGGCCTCCCTGCAGGGGCCAAGACAGAGGTGAGACGGCAATCAGATGGAGGGGGGCCCAGTCAGTCAAAGGGTAATAAAAAGAACAACAGTTAACACTTATTCTGCTCTTTGATCTTCCAGGTACTGTGCTACGCACTTTAAATATTGAATCCACAAAACTCCGTGACATAGGTATTCTTATTCCTGCTTTCTTACAATTGAGGAAACTGAGGCTCAGAGAGGCTAAGGGACTTACCCAAATCACAAGCCTGTAAGTGGTAAGAATTGAACTGCATTTGCTGACTCTAGAGTCCAGCTCTTTCTCAGCTTTCTCTACTGCCTGCCAGACTCTGAATTTAGCATCAGGTCAGGCTGGTGCCTGCAGCTACCACTTTACCAGACCATGGAGTCTGCTGGGAATTCCCAACTCCCTGCCCAGGTCCTGCCTGCTTGTCACCCCTTCCTGCCTTGCTCTGCTGGCTACCTGCCCACCCACCACTGGCTACTGGCCCACCTGGTCCACGAAGCTGATGGCATCCCGGATGTTGAGTCTATAGTACACATCCCAGATCTGGTCCCGGATGCGGTAGGCTGACCGCCGCATCAGCAGCTGACTCAGGTACTTCTTGTCAAACTGCTCCCACCTACAGAGGACGTCAGGCCCAGCCCTGAGTGCCATCCCCAAAGCCCAGCTGGCTGGCCCTTCCTCAGATGGGGCAGGGGCACTGCCAGCACTGGCCTGGCTCTCTTGGTATGGGCCTCAGCCAGGGAGAATCTCAAAGCTAATCCCGGCCCTTATGGAACTTACAGCATTATGGGAAAGCCTGACATTAAATTGAAGTTATTGCAACAACTAAAATTGCAACCATAACAAGAACTACAAAGCACAGAGTATGATAGGGATTTGTCCTAGTCAGGGAGGCCAGGGAAGTCCTCCTTAGAGAATTGATGCCTATGGTGAGATCTGAAGGATGAACAGGTTAAGTAGGTGAGAAGGAGGTAAGGGAATGTTCTAATACACAGAATATGGGCAAAGGTCCCAGTGGCAGGGTGGGGGAAGCACAGTGGGTCCTGAGGTTCTAAACCAGGATCCGTGTAATTAGCAGGCAGAGAGTCAAAGGCAGAGCAGAGCACGATGAGGCTGGAGTCTGGCAGGTGCCAGACCACACAGGGCTAGGCAGGCCTCCCTGGGAAGACTTGTCTTATCCTGAGAGTACTGGGATGCCACTGAAGAGCTCCTGGCAGAGGTCACCCAGCCCAAGTCTGGCTGTGTCCCTTCTCAGAAGTGTGGCACATCCCCAATGCTGCCCTGGCTGGTGGGGCTGCAGCTGCTGAAGGAGCCTTGGGGGAGCTCCCTCACCTGTCCCTCCAGTAGTGATAGCCATGGTGCCCCACAACGTCCTCCACTGCAGCCAGAATGTGGTCAAAAGTCTAGAAGGGGGTGGGTAGGGGGACTGGATCAGGACTCTGCTCAAAATAGAAGGAAGAGAGGTATAGGTGGAGGGATGGGGTTCTGGTACCCACGTGCTCATGCAGCTCCTGGTTCAGGGTGGGTTTGTGATGCTCACTCCTCTTCACCTTCAGCCATTTGACCAGTGGCTTGATGGTTAAGCCCTATGGACAGGCAGCAGGTGAGCCCTGCCCTATCCAGTTCCCTGCTGCCCTTCTCTCCCCGTAATTAGACCTTAGCTTCTGTACCTCCACCTTACTGCACTCAAGGTCTGGGAAGTCAGGTCCCTATCCCCCAAAGAGAAGAGCCCCGGTCCCAAAGGCTCCATGCCTCCCCCAGGGCCTGCCAGACCCTCTCCCTACCCACCCTCATGGGCTCTCCCACCTGCACAATGACTGTGAAGAAGACCACCACAATAGTGGTGGCCACAAAGTAGTCCTTGGCAGGGACCTTGGTCCTGTCCAGTAGGATGACGAGAGCGAAGGCCACAGCCCCCCGCAGGCCCCCATAGGACATCACCACCTGGTCAATCTTGTCCAGAGGGACCAGCCGGAACTGATTCAGCACCCACGTCTGCAGGACTACGCCTACAGCAGGAGGGAGGCCAGTGGGAGCAGGGCGTTGGGAGTGGAGGACCCAGGAGTGGATGACACCAAGTATCTGGGCTAAGGTCTGAGAGGGGTTGGGAGGGGTGAGCAACGGGGCAGGGGGGTGCTTAGGAATTGACAAGGATGTGGACTCAAAGTGGGGGATGAGCTGGGGCAGGGCAGGAAGGAGAGTGGGAAAGCAGAGGGTGCTGGCAATACCGAGGGCTCGGAAGAACAGGATGAAGAAGAGGGTGCCCAGCACCAGCCCAGAATCCCAGGCCCACTTAGAAGAGTCCACAGCCGAGATGCCAAGCAGCATGAAGATGACGGTCTCAGCACAGCTGGCTAGAGTCTTCATTGTGTATTTGACAGCCGTGCGTGACTTATGGGATATGTTGGCCTCTACATACTTCTTACAGCCCAGGCCACACATAGTCACACTGGGAGAAAAATGAACAGACAGGGCTAGTAAGGAGGGGTTGCAACCTCTGGGGTTTGAGCGTGCTGCAGGAGGGGTATTGCCCATCACAGGATGTCAGACCGTCAGAGCTGAAGCCCGGGGAGGCAAAGAGACTGTCCCAGGATAGCTAGTGGTGGGTGGTCTTGGGATAAGGGTCCAAATCTCCAGGTTCCCACTCAGTGCCTCCTGGAAGGGAAGCTGCGAGAAACATGCTCTGACTAGCATCCTCTCTGAGGCACTTTTTAAAGTGCTGTGGCTATTAGAGCTGGTAGCACCAGGACCTGAGGTCCACTTCTAGCTCAGCCTATACCCCAGAGAGTGCTTTAGGCAGAGGAAGATTGGGTTCTGAGGTGCCTAGGGCAGTTCTGGAGGCAGATCCTGAAACATTACCTGAGGTTTGCCGTCTCCCCAGGGGAGTTTGAGGCTCCCACTACCACAAGGGCTCAGGGAAGCCTATTGCCTCCTCAGGGTCCTGCTTCTGTCCATGTAAGGGGCAACCATCTCCAATGCCCCCTCCCAGCTGCCTACATGCAAGGCCCCCACGACTCACGCAAGAATAGCAGAAAGCGAGGCCATTTCAGCAGTGAGGTAGGCTGCATAGGCGAGGAGGAAGACCAGCAGTGGCTCGATGATGCGGACCCGCTTGGTGAAGCGTGTGGTCAGGGCCAGGAGGAAGGCAAAGACTAAGCCCACGGCTGCCCCGCCCAGACTGACCACAAACAGGGAGGCTGGGGGAGGAGTGGGTTGTCAGCATGACCCCAGGCCTGGACCCCACCTGGGCAGACAAGACTGCTGCCTGGCAGGGAGTGGAGGACAATGCCCACTGTACTCCCCGGGGGTCAGGATCCCAGAGCCAGGATCCCGGGAAAGCCCCTCCTTCTCAGGTTCTCAGGATCCCATTTCTCCATAGTGGAGGGAAGGGAATGAGGCAACCCAACAGCCTCCTCTGTCCTGATGCAGTTGGGGGCAGGGACTCAGCAACCCAGCCAAGAGGGGGAAATACTGACCGACTCCTTTCAGGTAGTCAGCAGCCTGCACGTTGGCAGAGCCCATCTCCACAAAGGAGTTGCAGACCTTGTACAGCACCTGAGTGAGAAGAGGAGAGTCAGGAGCAAAGAGAGGGAAGGCCCAACTGGGACTGCCAGGAGAAGGTGAAAACAGGCTGTATTTCTTCCCCAGGGGACCCAGGGAAGGGTATGAGCATGCTCAGACACCCGACTAGTCAGAGCATGGTAGCGGCAGTCAGGGAATGGCAGCCAACTGAGCACTCTCACCACGGTGACAGCATCATTGAGCAGGGACTCGCCAAAGACGATGATAAAGAGAGTGTCGTTGACGTGCACCTCCTCAAAAACAGCCAGGACGGCCACGGGGTCCACCGCTGAGATGAGGCTCCCAAACAGCAGGAAGTCCAGCAAGCTGGCCTGCACTCGAGGGGCTTTTGAGGGACAGATGAGGGACAGGAGCTGGTGAGGTATCTGGTCTCCCACAGCATTCCTTGTGACAAGCCCTGGCTCCCACCACCACCCCCCGCCCCCGCATTGCGGAAACAAGGATGCCCAGAGAGGACTTGGGATGGTGAAGACAGTGTCAGCCCGCAGGTCAGGAGACTTGAGCCTAAGGCCTGGCTTTGGCACTTACCAGCTCTGTGATGTTGGCGCTGTCACTGTCACATGACTTCTCTTAAGCCATGCCTCCTCATCTGCCTACCTCACGAGATTGCTGCAAAATCAACCCAGGAGATGGCTAAGAAAGTCTAAGTAACCTGAAAAGTTAAGGTGGCGCTGAGAATAAAAATTGCAACTGCAGTAATAAGAACCACTAGCAGGTGGAAACTGGCTGCTAACTGGCTTTATCAGGGACAAGAACAAGAGAGTGCTTTCTCCCATACTTGTGGTTCTCAGCCTAAGGGATGTCAGCAGGAGGGGGAGGGGCTGTCCATCCACGAGGGCTAAGTATGATAGGAAAAGCACCCACCATGGGGAGAACTTGAATATGACATAGAATCTCTGTGAGCCTGTTTCCTCATGTATATATTGGGAATAATAACAGTATCTCACTCAAAAGTTTCTTTATTTAGCCAGAGTCTCATACATAGTAAGCACCTAATAGATATTACTTATTATTGTTGTTGTTGTTGTTATCATTATTATCTGATGTTCTCCCTTCCTATTGTTACTATTATTATCTGATGTTCTCCCTTCCCTTCCTGCCCCAAAGAGTTCACTCATCCATCGGAAAACCAGGCTGGAGTCCTCCAGTAGAAATTGCACACCTCCCCTTGTACCTTGGAAGAAGTCTGAATTATCAACGTTCAGAGTTGAATGGATTTGGGTACAGGAAATGAGGAAGAAAGGAGTAGGAAGGCAGCCTAAGGGCAAGGAGCCCCAGTAAAACAGACCTCTCCTACTAACCTTGAACCTGTTATCAAATGAGTTCAAGGCCTTCTATTTCCTCATCTATTAAGTGGGACAAATTATACCCCAACAGGGTTGCTATAAAGAGTCCATGGGATAAGTAAAGAGAGAACATTCAGTGTAATGTATTGCATCCTGTGGATGTATAATGCAGATTTATCTATAATAATAATAATAATAATAATAATAATAATAACAATAATAACAACAACAGGGGTGCCTGGGTGGCTCAGTCATAAGAGCATGTGACTCTTGACCTTGAGGTCATGAGTTCAAGCCCCACGCTGGGTGTAGAGATTACTTAAAAAAAATTCAGGGGTCCCCTAGGTGTCGGTTGCGCATCTGACTTGGTTTTCGCTCACATCCTGATGGCGTCTTGAGATCCAGCCGTGCCTCGGGCTCAACGCTCAGCAAGTGTGCTTGATTCTCTTCAAAAAAAACCCTTCCCCACTATGTACACGCTCTCTCAAATAAATGAATGAATCTTTAAAAAAAAAATGTAAGGGGGTGCCTGGCTGAACAGTGGCTGGCTCAGTGAATGAAGCATGACTCTTGATCAAAAAAAAGTAGGTTCAAAAAAAATGTTGGGTGTAGAGATTGCTTTAAAATAAAATCGTTAAAAAAAATCTTAATTAAAAAAAATAATAATAATAGAAAACCACCCTGATGTGACCTGGGCAGAGCCAGGATGGTTGGCCCTCACGGAACAGTGAATTGTGCCTCAGGGGAGCAAGACTGGCAAGTGGCAGTGTGGTAACAGAGGGCAAGAGGCAGCAGAGTAGTAATGCAGGCTTCCCAGCCTCGGCAGCCCACACACAGCTGGGAGCCAGGCCTCTGCTCAGCTGTCATACTGCAGAAGCCCAGACTCAACTGGCAGAGACCTAAATGAAGGCTGAAGGCCCATCTGGAGTGTTGCCTTGCACTCCAGGTGGGAGGGACCTAAGATGGAGCTCTCAGGGCATGGCTCTTGCCAATATGGGATCTCCAGAGCTGGAGAAGGGAGTTGGGGGATGAATCTGGCAGAGCCTCCCTCTGCCAGTCCAGGTCCTAGAGTCACTCACCCACAAGTCCAGCCTGCTGCAGGCCCCAGAGGGCAGCACCTGTTGTGAAGGCATTCCAGAGTGTGCCCACAACGGCATAGGTGAGGATGGCACCCAAATTGTCAAAGAACAGCCGGCTAGGCATGAAATAGCCCGAGTCCAGCACAATAGGAGGCAGCAGGAAGAGGAAGAATGTGCCTGGCTCCAGCTGGTACTCAGCTTTCTTGGCCACAGCCAAGACAATGCCTCCAAGCACCAGTCCCAGCAAAATCAGCAGGCAGCTCTCAGGGACCAGCGATGTCACACACACACACACACACACACACACACACACACACACACACAGGATGTATCAGCTTATGGGACACACACACACACACACACACACACACACACACACACACTGGCCTTTAACCTCCCGGTCTTAAAAGGTTATCTAAGGTCAGGAACCCTGACCCTGGGACCAAGGAGGAGAAAAGACAGGCAAGGCTGCTAGAATCTCCAACTTGCATGGCTACAAGCCCTCCACTGCAGCTAAGGTTGTCTGTCTCTTGGTGCTTCTGTCATGGTAACCTAGGCCTTTCTTGCTCTTTCCATTCTGGAAATGCCCCCTCCTCTCTACTCTCATCCTCAGGGGACCTCACCTTTCTCTGATCTCCCTTATTCATAGCTATTATTTGAGCCTCAGCAAATGTTAGCTGGTATATTTTTATGCATAACATAGCTATTAAAATCAGGGCCTCTAGAGTCAGGCTGCCTGGGTTCAAAGACTAGCTCCTCTATTTACTAGTTCTTTGGCCTTGGAGCACATAACTTCACCTCTCTGACTTTCAGTTTTCTTGTCAGCAAAATGGAAATAAAAACAGTGATGATCTCATAGAATTGTTGTAAGGTTTAAGTAAAACAATCTACTCGATAGCACTTAACCCAGTGCTTTATCATAAGCACTCAATAAACATTACCTAATATATAGTGTCTTGCTCCCTATCTAGACAATAACACATATTATATCTCCTAGCAGCACTGTAGACCTCCTAGCCCAAAGTGCTTCTCATTAATTGGCTCAACTAATGGCACAATAGCTTAAAAAACATTGGGTTTAGCAGTAAGAAGATCTCCAGTTCTTCTGGCTCCATCACTTTCTAACCATGTGATCTCAAGCTATTTAATTTACCTGAACTCTGGGGAAGGATGCCTGGCTGGCTCAGTCAGTAGAGCATGCCACTCTAAAAAAAGGGGTTGTGAGTTCGAGTTGTGTACAGAGATTACTTAAAAATAAAAAACCTTTAAAAAAATGACTCTGGGGGAAAATAATGACAGACCTGCCCCCAGGAAAAGAAGAGGAAGTATGAATTGGGTTTCTAGCATTATCGCCACTCCTATTTGCCCACTAAAACAAACTCTCTTGGCTTTCCCCTAGGCCCTGAGATCCTGAGTAAACACTTCTCCCCATACCTGGAGTGGCAGGTAGTGGAACTGTTAGCCTATGTGAGACCCAATGCCAAGACAATGCCCTTTGGAAGCTATATGCAAAGGGCTTAGAACAGTTCCTGGCACACAGTGGGATCTACATAAATATTTGTTGAATAAAAGGGGGAAAAAGGGTGCCCGGGTGGCTCAGTCGGTTAAGCATCTGCCTTCGGCTCAGGTCATGATCCCAGGGTCCTGGGATCAAGTCCCACATCGGGCTCCTTGCTCTGCGGGGAGGCTGCTACTCCCTCTCCTCCCCACTTGTGCTCTATCTCTGACTCTCTCTCTCTCAAATAAATAAATAAAATCTAAAAAAATAAAATAAAAATTAAATTTAAAAGAAGGGGGGGGACCTCCTAGCAATTGTGTGTGTGTGTGTGTGTGTGTGTCGTCCTACTGATCTCTCCCATCCTCTGTGAGGACTTGTGTGTGTGTGTGTGTGTGTGTGTCTGATGAGGAGGCTCTCTTCTTCTACCTCCAGAGGAGGTGACATCCAAGCTAGGCAAAGCACTACAATTTATTGGGGAAACTACAGTTTTTGCTATACAAACCCTAAACAAAACAAGAACTTTCCTGCAACTCATAAACTCCTCAGCAAACCCAATTCTCGGCTCCCAAATCTGGGCTCCTCCCTCTTGCTCTCACTGCTGCCAGGCCCTAAGGTAAATTCAGTCATAGATCTGCCCACACACATCCCTACCTTCAGTTCCCCTCTCCTCTCCTTCAGGGACTCCATTCCATCCTCACTTCCAGAGCATGCATCAACCCCAGCACTGCAATCCAAAACCCATCACCAAAGCCTGTTCTCGGGCAGAACTCAGTTTCCTGAAGGACTTCAGGCCCCATTTTCCATTATTAATGGGCTGCAAGAACAGAGTGGAAAGTTCTTCTGTTCCTGCCCAGCAACCCCATCCCCCACCCCCAGCAGAGTCCCTGGGGGAGTTGAGGGGCACATTCTAAGCTGTGTGATTCCTACAGGAAGACTGTATTGGTGAGATTGGAGTACAGCCTGTGCCAGCATAGCTGGGGAGTAGCAACGCTCAGCTATAATTAGTCACCCCCACAGCAGAGCCTGAACAACAGGGAGATGGAGGAGGGTCTCTGGTAGGAGGAGGGACCACTGGCTGCTCAGAAGTGGGGAAGAAGGGGCAAAGGCAAGGAAAAGCAGCTCTATTCAAGGTAAGGAATGTGAAGCACAACCTTTAATGTGCAGACTGAAGGAGGTCGGATGTATGAAAGCACCTAGTGTAGGCAGCAGATAGTAAGTAAGGCCCTAAGAAATGGAAGGGTTGGGGCGCCTGGGTGGCTCAGTTGTTAAGCGTCTGCCTTTGGCTCAGGTCATGATCCCAGGGTCCTGGGATCAAGGCCCACATCGGGCTCCTTGCTCAGTGGGAAGCCTGCTTCTCCCTCTCACACTCAAAAAAAAAAAAAAAATCTCTCGCTGTGTCTCTCTCTGTTAAATAAATAAATAAAATCTTAAAAAAAAAAAAAAAAGAAATGGAAGGGTTTTTTGTTTGTTTTTTACCCTGAAAAGGGAAGAATGTAGATCCGAATCATGGTGGGGAGTCCTGCTAAGCACACCTAAAGAACGATGCCATCTATAGAAGAGCAGAGGGGGGCCTAGAGGAAAAGTGGCAATCTAGTATCCCAAGAGAGTGGACACTTGTATGTGGTCTCCTGGGAAGACTGCTTCTGCAGATCCAGGATGCCTGGATTCGCTGGAGAACACTATCTCCACAATGTCTCCACACATCTTTGTTGCTGACAGAGGTTTCTAGGAGCCTGGAGATTGGTGGAGAAGAGGCCAGACCGAAGGGCTTATCGGGAGGAGGGGGGCAGAGAGGGCAAAGAGTGTAGGGATGGGAAGAGCCGGGGCAGCCCTCAGAGAAGGCCAATCCTCAGACCTCCCCCGCGGGGAGGGGAGGAGGGAGAGAGGGCGCAGGAACTCTGTGAGAGCCCGGATTTGTGGAATCGGAACCTGAGTCTTGGCACTGCAAGAAGCCGGCCCAGATCTGGGCACTAAGGGTTGGGGGCGGGTCCGCTGCCGGCCGCCGGCCTGGCGCTCACACACACGCACTCACCGATTTTGGCCAGGCTGGCCACCAGGATCCACAGGGCTACCAGGTAGGGCGCCTCCACCTCGTGCCACTGCCAGCGGAAGAGCGCCAGCCCTGCGGGAGGCTCGCCGGACGACCTCGGCTCCTGGGTGGGCTCTTCGGTGGCGGCCGCCCCCGCCAGCGGCAGCCCGAACAGCGGTAGTGCGGCGCGCAGCATCCTGCCGCCTGCCTAGCCGCCCTGCCGGCACCGCACGGCCGCCGGCCCCGCGTCGCCGCCGCGCCTACCGGCCGCCCCCGCGTCACAAGCACGTGGGGCCCGCTCCCCCCAATCCCAGCTCCGAAACCCCCGAGCCGGGTCCGGACTCCGAGACCGTGCTCCGGGCGTCCGGACTCTGGACCCCTGCTCCTCCCCCCTCTAAACCAGTCTGAGCTCTGGAAATCCCCCAGTCCAGCTCTCCAAGTCCCGAAACCTATTCCTTCGAGTCCGCTCCCCCAAACCTTCCCCAAAGCTCCCCTGATCCGGTTTCAGAGCTGTGAGCGGCCACAGCCCTCCGGAGGAGCGGCCGCGTCCCACCCGCCGGAGGCGGTAGCCCGTCGCGGGAGCGGAGGGGATCTGCGGGGGGCGGGGTCCAGGCCGGAGGGGCGCATCTCCTTCATCGCTAGTGCCGACCCGCTGGAGCCGCCGGCAGCTGGTACTGAAGGCGCGGGCCCCGACGCTGCCCCGTGCAGACTGCAGGGGGCAGTGCGCCGCCGCCCTCCGGAGCCTAGGACCCCCTTCGGGCCCCCGCCCAGACCAGCACTGCGCACGCGCACTGGGCCCTCCCAGAAAGCCGTGATGGACAACGCCGTCCTTCCTCAACGTCCCCAGAAACTCCAAGGCCCAAACTGGTCCCAGCTCATTCGAGGCTGATAAGGAAGCTGTTCCTCTTTATCTCGCAAACCGAGGAGCACCCGGCCTCCCTTTCGGTCAAACTACAGGAAAGTCTCCTCACCTTTTCCATGAAAACAGAAGGGAACCTATCTTCTTTCCCTTAACTATGAGAAAACCCGGCCTATCGATTCCCTTCAAACTAAAAGGGATCCACTCACCCTTTACCCAAAACCTGAGGGGGGGTTGGCTTATCTCGCCCCAAACTGAGGAGGACCGTCTCCATTTTTCATTAAAGCTGAGGGGCACCCATCCCACATCTTACCCCAGACTGAGAAAAACATGTTCTACCTCCTCACTCAAATTGAGTCATTACATCGTTTTCCCAGAACTGAGGGGCACCCGTCCCTCTTCTTACTCCAACTAAAGGGAAATGATTCCACTTCTTCCTTCAAACTGAGTGGAATCTATTTTCACTTCTTGCTCCAAACTGAAAGGGATCCATCTCCCTGCTTTCCCCAAACGACGGAATTCCATCCACTTCATCCCTCAAACTGAAGGAATCAGGACCATCTCGTCACTAAACTCAGGGAGACCCGGCCGGCCACTATCTGCAGAAATTCCCGCCCCACCTGCCCGAATAACCCCTCAACAAGAACGCAGCCTCACCGCCACCAAGCCCAGTGAAAACCTCCCCGCTCTGGGCAAGCTCTTGAAGGCGGGGGGGTGGGGGGGTGGGGGGGTGAGCTCCGGTTTTTCCGCCCGCAGAGCCAGTGAACTAACGGGATCACGATCGCGCCCTCTGAGTGGCTGCGGCAAGCCCCGCCCCCAGCAGTGGTTGCCCCTCCCGGCGCTTTCAGGGACTACTCTTGGCTCCACCCCCTTCCTCGGCCCCGCCTCCGCCTGGCTCCGCCCCTCTTCAGCAGCGTCCGGTCAGACCCGGCCCAGACAGCCGAGCTAGTTGAGTAGACGCCGCGGCGGGGCGGGGACCCTCTCGGAGGCGCGCGGCGCGAGCCAGTGACACACGATGGCGGGCGAGGAAGACCGCAGAGACGGGGACCCGGTATCAGTGGTGACCGTGCGGGTGCAGTACTTGGAGGACACCGACCCCTTCGCATGTGCCAACTTCCCGGAGCCGCGTCGGGCCCCCACCTGCAGCCTAGACGGGGCACTGCCCCTGGGTGCGCAGATACCCGCGCTGCACCGCCTGCTGGCGGCGCCGCTGAAGGTGAGGTGGCCCGGAGAAAGATTGGGGGCGATCAAAGGTTCATGGCGCCATGAAAGCCTTTGGGAGGTATCCCTCGGGGAGAGGCTGGAGCGGGTGCGCTGCTGCGGGAAAGTCTTGGACTGGGGACTTAAGGTCCACGCTGCCTCGCTTTCGCGGGACGCCTCTCAAGTTGAGGGAAGCTGAAGAAGGGAGATGGGAATTTGTGGTCTGCGCCACTCTGGCTGCCCCCTCGAAGTGAGGCCCACCTGGGGAGATGTTCGGGGTCCACTCGTTGCCTGTCTGCCTGGGTAACCGATCTGGATAAGGTGACGGTAGATGTTTGGGTGGTAGCGGACTAAAAGTTGGAGCTGGGGAAGCACCAGCTTCCACCTGCTTCAGGTGAGGTGGGGCGGGACCAAGAAGAGGGGCGGACCCGGGGCGGGCCACTGGGGGCGGCCAAGGCCTCGAGCGGTTTCTGGAGGCTGGATTGGGTCCTGCCGGATGGAGTGTTGCCCCTGTAGGTGGGGGCCCCGCTTAGGAGTGCCAGTAGAAGAGAGACTTCTCGTGGTGAGGTGAGTCTCCGGGAAGCGGTCCGGCCCGGGACACGCCGAGAGCTGGTGGCTGCACTGGTGGAAAAGCCCTTTGAGTCACCGCCTCCACCATGCCGTACTCCAGCCGCAGCCGGCCCACTGCTAGAAGGGAGGGGGCGGGCCAGGCTAATTTTAAACCGCCAGCCTGCCCTAGTTTGCCTGCGTCCCGGAGCCGACTCGTGCACAGTGCTGGGAGAGGCCCTTTTTCAGATGGTTGGCCCTACCTCCCCTCCGGCTCCCTGCGCTCAGCCCCCTGCAGGCAGCGCTTTCCGGCGCGCTGGGTTTCCGGACCAGGACTCTGGGAGGCGCACTACCACCCCCAGGGTTCCCCGCCAGCCAGTACACACTGAGTGGTGAGGAAAAGGAGAGAGTTGGCGGGGGTGCCCTCCCCTGCTCCCAGCCTTAGCTGGGGGGCGAGTTACGCAAACTTGCCCCCCAGGCCCGGGGTCTCCCCTGGAATGTGCCCCGGGCGCCAGGCCCCCAGCCTGCATTCCTCGCTCTGCGGGCCAGCCCCGCCTCTGAGCGCGGGCGGGAGAGTTAGTGAGATTATTGGCGGGGGGAGTGGCGCGTGTCCGGACGGAGCCCGGGCTTCAAGGCCACGGCTTGAAGGTTGCAGTACACTGCCCACTTTAGTGTTTTGATGCAACCCCTTTTGTCCTGCCCTGTAAAGGGGCAGTCTGAGGTGGGCCTGGAAGGAACACGTCCAGCCCGAGGCACCTTCAATTCAGGATGGGCGCTGGAGAGGGGTGTTGAACCGAGTCTAGGTTCCTGCCTTCACGCTCCTGGAACTCCTGGTGCTGAAATAAGCCTGGTGCATTACAGAGAACATAGTATTCCTCCCACCCCCCACTCTAGGACAGGACTTAGCCCTAACAGACCTTTTCCCAATTAGGGGCAGATTTGGGAGGTCAGCAACAGAAAAGAACAACCCCCTCTTCTTCCCCTCATTTAGGGACCCATCTCCCTGCTGCACCAGGTGCTCTGTACTCTTAGCTAAAGACTAAAGAGCTCAGATGGAGAATGTGTTAAGTACTCCCCAGCTCAGACATTCCTGGTCTCCCCACCTTTAGGATCTCCCACTTGGTGTACCTGAGGACTACCATATCCCCCACAGGCAGGATATGCTGGTGGGCACACTGAATTACCACTGTGCCTGTAGCCAGGATTCCCTGGGGCTGGCAGCTGTGCCAGGAATGGTCAGATACACTGTGATGTGCTCATCCCAAATATAAACTGTGACCACAGCCCCAGAATAGAAGGCTGGAGGAAGAAGGGCTGAGAATAGGGTAGGGGCAGGGACATCAGAGAGCTGAGAGAGGGGGAGCAGGGCTCCTCCTTGCAGGAAAGGTCAACAGCTCTCGTTCCTCCCCTCCTCCTATAAGTGTATGCCCCAGGGGCACAGACATGACTCAAGCCTGCCTACATAGCCCTGTAGAGGGGAGAGGTGGCCCAGAAACCCAGGCATTCCTATCCCAGGCCTAGAGCAGGAATAAGAAGGAGGGGATCACCACTCAATACATTATCCTCTGTACATCTGTCCAGTAGAGGAACAGGACACAGACAAGTGACGACATCTGCCCTCCCACTCTGGGCACTGACCTTCATCATCCCTGCAGACCCTGCTCCCTCCCTGGGAATATAGGAAGGCCCAGCCTACTTTCTCTCTGGAGCTCCACCCCCACATACCCCATTGAGCTGGGCCTAGCCACTAGAGTTCCCCTGGGGGCTTCCTTTTTAAACCATTTAGAGCTTTCAGATCTGAGAAGGCCTTGCTCATTTCCTCCTAGTCTAGGAGGAAGCTCCTTGCCACAGCCTCTGACTCATCTCCTGGACTTGGGTGGGAGTGGGAGGGGTGAGGGGGGTGGGGAGGGTCCTGGCAGTGCCTTGGGCCATGCCTGGTGTCCCCAGGGGAATATTAGGAATATCTGTCTTCCCTCTGTGCACAAGCCTCTCCCAGCCGGGGACCTGCCCCTGTCCAGGGGAGAACCTGACCCTCTGGCCCTGCATTTCATCTCTTTACCCAGAGCTCTGCTACATTTTGGTCTTCTGGGCAGTGCCTCAGGAACCCGTCTCTGACACCTAAAGGCCCTGCCACGTCTGAGATAGCATTGACTTCTCCCTGGGCTCTGGGCACAGAGACCTGAGTCCCGCTCTGACCCTGATGCAAAGGCCGGAGGAGCCCCCTACTTCTAGCAGCAGGGATAGCCCTAGAAATCTGTCACCAGTAACTGTTTCCCCAGCTGTGGCTAAAGATTAGAGGAGGACAGGGGTGGCACTGTCCTGGGATGTTTCTTGACCTTGCACCCTCCCTACTCCAGCCTCAGTTTACCTCTCAGGAGCAATTGTGGCAAGGGGGCTAAAGTGTGAACCTGATCTGCTGGGACAGGGACCAACTGGAGGGATCCCAGAGGAGGTTTAAGGGTAAGATGGGGTGCTCTGGTGATGAACTGAGTCCTTTATTTCCCTGATATGGAGGTCTTTTGGGGAGACTAGAAGTTTGGGATGTGGACATGAGTTATGGCCTTCTCCCAGCTTTCTCTGGGGCCACCATCCATGTCCAATTTACTGGTCATTCTGGGGTCAGGCTGGGATGCAGCCTGGTGAGGGACCCCAGGACCTAGGTCCTTGCAGATGTAGGCATTGTTACCTTGGCGTGTATGGTGCGTATGTGTTCATTTGTGTTCCCTTGCTACAACTGGGCGGACCAGTTCGGGGTATTTGCTGAGTCCAGGAAGCTGAGGGGTGGTCTTCAGCCCTTGGCAACACTACATGCTCCAGCCCTACCCTCCACCTCCCCTCCAGGGTTCCCTGGAGCACTTCCAAAGTCCATCCACCCAAGATCTAGGTCAGGTAGCCCTGGTTCCATTCCTGGATGTGCAGCCGGGGGCATATTCACTGAGTTTCTGAGCCTTGGTTTCCTCACCTGTAAAAGGATTGTCAGGAGAGGGGCACCTGGCTGGCTCAGTTGGTAGAGCATTTGACTCTTGATCTCAGGGTTGTGGGTTTGAGCCCCAATTTGGGCGCAGAGATTGCTTACGTAAATAAAACTTAAAAAAAAAAAAAGGAATAGCAGGAGAATCAGACAACTAGGCAACCTGATATGTGACACAGGGGAGGCCAACTTTTTTTTTTTTTAAAGATTTTATTTATTTGAGAGAGAAAGAATGAGAGAGAGAGAGCCTGAGAGGGGGGAGGGTCAGAGGGAGAAGCAGACTCCCCGCTGAGCAGGGAGTCCGATGCGGGACTCGATCCCAGGACTCCAGGATCATGACCCAAGCTGAAGGCAGTCGCTTAACCCAACTGAGCCACCCAGGCACCCAGGGGAGGCATAACTATTATGGGTTTCCCTCCTCAAGGCCCATCCATAGTGTCTCATCCAGGAAGTCATGGTCTAGTTGGAAACCCAAGATAACAGTAGAAGGAGGGTCTCATGTTTAAAGTTTATTTATTTGTTTGTTTGTTTGTTTAAGTAATCTCTATACCCAACGTGGAGCTTGAACTCATGACCCCAAGATCAAGAGTTGCATGCTTTGGGGCGCCTGGGTGGCTCAGTCGTTAAGCGTCTGCTTTCGGCTTAGGTCATGATCCCAGGGTCCTGGGATTGAGCCCCTCTCCCTCTCCCCCTGTTTGTGTTCCCTCTCTCGCTGTCTCTCTCTCTGTCAAATAAATGAATAAAATCTTTTTTTTTAATTAAAAAAAAAAAAAGTTACATGCTCTCCAAATGAGCCAGCCAGGTGCCTCAAGGGTCTCGTGTTTATAGGAAAGCAAAAGAAAAAAGCAGTTAGCAAAATTATTTCCTAAAACAGGAGTCCTTCAGCATATAATTCTGCCTTCTTCTCCATCTTCTTTCCCTGCCCCTGGTGTGTTCATTCTCTCCTGATTTGCAGTTATGAAAAACATTGGGGAGTAGACACCATGGTCCCCTAAGTTTGGCCCTGCATTTAAAGCCATATGTAATGAGTTGGTGTAGGCTGTCAGAAGGGCCTGAGCCCAGAGAACCAAGAGAAAAGTGGGCTGGATGCTGAAGGGAGGGGCTGAGCCTGGGAAGAATGGAGAGGACTGTACTCCAAAACAGAAACAGAGAAGCGTGCAAGACAAGAACTAGGAGGGAGTCAAGGATGTGGGCCCACACGGGCCCTGTGCTGACCCTCAGCACTGTCAGCAGGCTTATTCTGGACTGGCCCAACCCCAGGGTGTGAGAAACAAGCCCCAGAGGTTTGGCTTTCAGAAGGGTGACCCGAGCAAGGGGCCAGGGGTGTGAGGGACAAGCACCACCCAGCTGGCAGGAAGTCTCTGTTCTTTGCTACCTTAGCCCACCCTCCCCCATCTCCACCCAGGACAGGCGGCTGGGTTGGGGGGTACCATCCTGGAGGCTTTGGGCTGGCTGTTACCTCAGGACTCCTCTAGGGAGGCCACTGCTGCCACCATGGAGGGAAAGGGGTTAAACCTGCTCATCTGAGGAGGCTGGATGATGGAGCACTTGGCCTTCAGGACCTTACCCCAAATACATGCAGGCCTTCTGGAAGGAGAGGGCCATTCTCTGCTCACTTGGGATTAGAGCACACAAGCATGCTTGCAGGAGGGGAAGAGAGTCTGCCGGAGCCGAGCTTTCTGGGGATGTGCTTCTTGGACCTGTGTTCCAGCAGAGCATATATGTATACCGCGGACCATGAACCTGGGTGTGGAAGTACATACCAGGTATAATCTGATCACCCCTCCAGTGTTTAGCTTTACAGCACTCCGCCCCTCTCCTTGCTTAGCACTCATGTCCCTTGTACTTCTACATGTATTTGTAGCCTTTTTCTGAGGTGAGCCTGCCTGCCTCCCCAGCTGGGCTGGAAGGCAGGAAAAGCAGAAGCAGTATCTTCTTCCCCACTATGTCTTCAGCACCTAAAACCAGCCTGGTTCATGAATGTTTGAAAGAGTGAACTAGTCTATGTGTGTGTGATCTGGGGGATCCCTGAAGGAATCTGTTGCTCTGGGGCTAGGGCAGGGTTGTGTGGAGATGTTTCTCTAGGGTCCCAGAATCCTCTAGTCCAAGGTGGAAGGAGATGCAGCTGTGCCTGGATGGGGGTGGGGTGGGCAGGCTGCTGAGTCATCATATGGGAAGAGGGATCAGGAGGAATGTGGGGCTGCCCTCAGCTGAGCTGGCCCAAGACGGAGTACCCCAGCCCTGGGGCCTTGCCTCCACATCTCAGGCCTGTTCCTGTTAGGCCCTGGAGAAGATGACTCTGCTCCTAGGGAGGGGAGAGAGGCCAGGCCCGCCCAAGGCGCCCAAGGGAGGGCAGGCAGCCAGGCAGGAAGTGGGACAGAGAACTGGCTGGAGTGTTTGTCCTATGTCCCATGTCCCAGGCGAGACGGGGTGGGGGAGGGGGGTGGGAGGAGAGGGGGTGTCACCCAAGGGCCTCAAGGCTGAACTGCCAGGAAGAAGGGGGGTCAGGCTCTCAGGCATGAGCAGGGGTGCAAAGCAGAAACAGGGGTAGGGGCAGGAGCTGGACTCCCTTCCCCCCCAGGGGACCAAATGCAGCTGGAAGCCCTTGGACTGGGCCCAGAGCAGGGTAGGGCTGGCAGAACAGCAGGACGAATGATGGGATTGACTTCCCCAGTAAGAGGGAAGCCAGAAAACACCCTGCTTCTCCAGAAGTGGGCTCTCCCTGGGCCATGGTACGTCAAGGAGCAGGCCCACTCAATTCAAGGGGACTTTGCTGAGCCCTGCATACTGGCTTTGTGCTACGGGGGAGGTGTCTCGAAGAGGCACAGTGCCGCCCTCAGACTCTGGAGTCACTCCACTAGGGTACTTCTTAAGAGGCCAGTGTCACGCCTGGTGGTGGTGGACGGGAGCCAGGCTGGAGGCATGGTAGGGATACATGGGAAGCAGAGAAGTGGATAGAACGTGTGCCTTGTACAATGCAGGTTTCAGGGACCCAGTGCAGACTGATGGAGTCAGACCCTAAAACCTGGTTTTCAACCTGGAGGCCTCTGAGGTCCAGCTCACCTGGGGCAGGGCAAAGACCCTGAGGCCTACACACACACACACACACACACACACACACACACACTCACGGTCTCAATTCAGGGAGACACCACACACACACACACACACACACACACACACACACACACACTCACACACACACACACCCTCCCAGCTGGGTTTGCACCAGCATTCGTTAACACTTTCTCCCTGGGCTTGACTGCTTTGTGGATGCAGCTTATCACCCCCAGGGCTGTGAACTTCCTCAAAAGCAGGAGCTCCCGCCCGTCTTTATTCCCCCTCCTTATTCATGTTCATTAGCTCAACAGTGTTTAGTGAGCATTTACTGTGAGCCAAAAGCTGTGCTAGGCTCTGCAGATACAGCATGGGGCAAGACAGACACGGTGCCTGAACCCAGAGAACTCATGGTTAGTGGGGAAGAAGAGTAGTGTATGGGACATTATCACGCTGTGTGGAAGGCCTCACACATGGGAGCTACACACATGGGGTGGAATAGGTCGCCTAGCATTGGCTAGAGGAGTCCAGGAGAGCGTTCCAAAAAACCATTACCTGATCTGAAACCTACAGAATGGGTAGGTGTTAGCTGGAAGACATAGCACGTACAAAGGGCAAGAAAGCCTGGCCCCTGGGGTGCGTGGGCACTGCACATAGTAGGCCTGGGAGAGATGGCTGCCGACGGAATGCGTCGCTGCAGTGCACACCCTGTGGTATGCCACACTGCCAGCTCTCTGAGTGGGAGGCGGGAGGGCATGGGGTCTCTGTACATACCCCTGCCACCTCTTTCCCCCAGCTGGAGGACTGCGCCCTGCAAGTGTCTCCCTCTGGATACTACCTGGACCCTGAGCTGTCTCTGGAAGAGCAGCGGGAGATGCTGGAGGGCTTCTATGAAGAGATCAGGTCAGAGCTGATGGGACCAGGAAGGCAAGACTGGCCCCCACCCTTGCTTCCACCAGGGGCTGGCTCAGGTGTCAGCAGGCAAGACACCTGATCTCTAGCCTAGGCTGTGGGTTACCTCCTGCCAGGGGACGGTGCCAGGGGAATCCCAAGGCCTGGCCAATGTTACCTGATGCCCGGGAGGTGTGGGGGGGGGGTGGGGGGCTCTTGCACATACCTGAGATACCTATGTTTGCACAAACTCTCTTGTTGGGGGGGAAGGAGTTGGGCCAGGGTTGGCATGTGGGGTGGTCTTTAGCTGCCCTGGTGTGGGGGCAGGGACTCTGAGGAATGACCTGGAAACTGCTGACTAGGCTGCTTGATTCCAGCAAAGGGAGGAAGCCTACACTCATCCTGCGTACTCAACTCTCTGTGAGGGTCAATGCCATCTTGGGTAAGTGTATGAGGGCATTGGAGTCCAGGAGTCCTCCTCCCCACCCGTGCTGGCTCAGTTTCTTTCAGGCCTGTGCTGGACAGTGGACAAGGCACATGGGAGACAGGATGCATGGCCCTCCCCATTCCTATCCTGACCTCTCTTCCCAGGGCCAGGGCTGATGCTGCAGCTAAACTGCAATGGGGGTTGCCCAGTCAGGGAGTGGAGGAGGAGGTTGGGGGTTCAAGAGTGCTAGAATATTCTTTGGTGGGGGATTGTGTCCCAGTAGAGGAGGGTGTCTGTGCCCCCTTGAGCCTTCTGTGCCCACCTACCCCTTGCAGAAAAGTTGTATGGCTCCAGTGGCCCTGAGCTGCGTCGCTCTCTCTTCTCACTAAAGCAGATCTTCCAGGTGAGGCCCAGAAGTGGGCTGGGGGTGGGCGTCCAGCCTGAGCCCTGCTTAAACTCCCCCATGGTGTCCCCAGGAGGACAAGGACCTGGTGCCCGAATTTGTGCATTCCGAGGGGCTGAGTTGCCTGATCCGTGTGGGTGCTGCTGCTGACCACAACTACCAGAGCTACATCCTCCGAGGTTAGCCCCATCCCTCCCCCATGCCCCCTGCCTTCAGCGACCCCTTTCTGACCTCTTCTTGTCCCTGTGTCCCCAGCACTAGGCCAGCTGATGCTGTTTGTGGATGGGATGCTGGGCGTGGTGGCCCACAGTGAGACTGTGCAGTGGCTGTACACACTGTGCGCCAGTGTGGTAAGTGGCCCTCCGCACAGCCATGCACCCTTCCCCACTGCCTCGCTCTGACCTCAGTCGGCTCTTCTTCAGAGTGGGCTGGAGTGAGTGAGACTCTGAGGCTCCCCTAAGGCTAGGAGGCACTCCAACACCTGGACCTAGGGCCAGGGTCTTTCTGCCTAGACTCTCCTCTCTGGGTCCAGCCCCAGAAGCCCTTACCCCTCCCCAGCAGGAGCTAGCACAAGTCTGGCCCACGCCCCATTCATATGTGGTGACCCCTCCCCCAGTCCCGCCTGGTGGTGAAAACGGCCCTGAAGCTGCTGCTGGTGTTTGTGGAATACTCTGAGAACAACGCCCCGCTGTTTATCTGCGCAGTCAACTCTGTGGCCAGCTCCACAAGTGAGAGACTGTCCCTTCCTCCCCCACCATTCAGAGCCCTCTCCTCCTACCTGTCCCTGCATGATCGCTCCCCTTTCTGTGTGTCAGGCTCTCTTCCTTGGGCCAATCTGGTGTCCATCCTAGAGGGGGGGAATGGCGCTGACCCTGAGTTGTTGGTGTACACAGTCACCCTCATCAACAAGGTGGGGGGGCCCTGAGAAGGGGGGAGAACCAGGTGCCAATTCTGGGCCCCTAAGGCTCCTTAACTTCCGGTCAGCCTTAGCCTCGCCCCCCCATCCCCAATCCTCCAGACGCTGGCAGCACTTCCGGACCAGGACTCCTTCTATGATGTGACAGATGCGCTGGAGCAGCAGGGCATGGAGGCTCTGGTCCAGCGCCACTTGGGCACCTCGGGCACTGATTTCGATCTGCGCACACAGCTTGTGCTCTATGAGGTAGGCTGGGCCATCTGGGCGCGACTGGAAGGGAGGGAAGAGGCGCAGTTCCCCAGCACCCCACCCTACCTATGCGAGTCTCAGCGGCTCGGATCTGGGTCCACCTCCACTAGAATGCCCTGCGGTTGGAGGATGGAGACATTGAGGAAGCCGCTGCAGGTGGGCGGCGGGAACGCAGAAAGCCCTCTTCGGAGGAGGGCAAGAGGAGCCGCCGGTCTCTAGAAGGCGGGGGCTGCCCTGTGCGCTCTTCCGAGCCTGGGTAAGAACGTGCCTTTGCACATGGGGAGGGGTGGATCAGCCTGCAGTGGCCTTGTCCGTTGACAGGCCCCGCCTCCAGCCCTGCAGGCCCTGCCTCTAGCCGTACAGGCCCCGCCTCGCCGGCCGGCCCCGCCTCCAACCCTGCAGGCCCTGCCTCTAGCCGCATAGGCCCCGCCTCGCTGACAAGCCCCGCCTCGAGCCCCTCGGACCCCGCCTCCACCGTAATCTCCACCTACTCCGCTGGCCCGGCCCTGGGGAAGGGCCTGGCTCTCAGCCCCATGGACCCAGCTTCTGGTCTGGGTACCTCGGTGAACCTCTTTCCTGCCATCTCCGTGGGGCCCTCAGCCGACAGCTCCAGCGAGAGGAGCATCTACAAGTAAGTAGGGAGATAGAGGCTGCCCCTAGAGTCCTCTCTCCAGCTGTCCCTCCACTCTGAGCCCCTCCACAGGCCCTCCGCCTCCTCTGCCCAAACTCCTCTGCCCAAACGCGTGCTTTCTCTTTCTTTCCAGACTTCACCAAACTGCTCCTGTTTGGTAAGTGACTGCTGGGGGGTGGGGTTCTGCTCTGACTGGACCTCTTCGTCCTGCTGCTTGTCTTCATCTCTTTCTGGCATTCTGCCTGTCCTTGCCCCTTTGTCATCTATCCCCTTGCCCCCCTTCTTTGTTTCTCTGCCGCTATCTCTTGACTCTCTTGTTCTGCTCCATCTTTGTCTCCTACTGCACCCTGTCCTGCTTCATGTCCGTCTCTCCCGTCCATTTCCAGTTTCCTCACGTCCTGCCTCCACGCCTCCTCTTCCCACTGGGGCTGGGAAGGAACCCCTGGTGCTACTGCCCAGCTCTGTGTGGGTACAAGCTGCTGGGCTTTGGAGTGGAGCAGGCATCACAATTACCATCTCTTCCTCTCATCCCCCCCACCCAGGGCCCCAGAGAGCCCACCTGTCCCTCAGTCCCCTACTGAGCAGGCCAGGCTGGAGTAAGTACAGAGGCCAGCCTGCCAGGCTTGCCATGTGCTCAGGGCTTCAGCATTGCTTCCCCCCAGCGGGGGTTCCATGTGCCTCATGCAGCCAGAGCTGGGGGACTCTCAGGCCCTTCCTCTCCCAGACATACGCCTCCTCCGTTATCCAAGGGGAAGGGAAGCAGCTCATTGGGGTCATAGTGGTCCCTGTGCTTCAACAGTGACACCTTAACAGCTTCAACCAAAAATGAGGACACAGACTCCCAACCTGGGGCCCAGTCTCCCAGGAATAGGGCAGGGGGGTATCCAGGGTGCTGTATGGTGTGGGGGTAAAGGAGCAACCTAAGACTGAGGGAAGGGCAGGGACTGAGGGCCAACAGAGGCTGGAGGGGTGAAAAAAAGACACTGGATCACATTCATTATTTTAACATAAACTGAGTGCCTGTTGTAGTAGCTCAGTCAGTAAAGCATGAGACTCTTAAGCTAAAGCCTGTTGTTTACCGGGCCCTTTTCTAGGCATGGGTCATAGCTCTCAGAAGCTGCCAGACATGGGACAGCCTGGTGTACCCACTGGAACAGCTGTCCCCTTCCCCTGCTCTGAGGGTCCTTGTCTAGAATCAAGACAGTGAACAGGAACAGCAGCAAGGTTGCAAGTTAGATGTTAAGCAGAACTTCTCTCCATATGTTGAACTGGGGATGCTGGGTTGGCATTGACCCTCCCCAGATTTGGAGGACTGAACAGGGGCTGGCTTGGGGGGTAAGTCCTGGGTCTGCTCAGCGCATGGACTGTTCTCTGTGTGTCTGTGTGTGCCTGCAATTTGGGGCAGTGCCCAGGGGCCCAGCAAGGCATGTACACCACCCTGGGTTGGGGTGTGTCAGACACCCTCACTGACAAGTGCTTCCCTCCAGAGCCCGATTCCTGGAGAATGTGGCAGCGGCAGAAACAGAGAAGCAGGCTGCACTGGCCCAGGGCCGGGCAGAGACATTGGCTGGGGCCATGCCTGATGAGGCCGATGGACACCCAGGTGAGTAGGTGGGTGGGCAGAATCCATTCATGTTGCCCTTTTGTTCCACAGAGGGCATGATGCTGACAGTTGCTGCTTTTTTCTAGATACCCAGGAACTATGGGGCTCCCCAGAACCAGGCCCTGCACCCAGAACCCCCGAGAGCCCTACCCCCCGAGGTCTGCTCCGGGCCCAGCGGCGCCTTGAGCCAGAACCCAAGGTGCCACTGGCCCCACCAAGCGCCAAGGCCGAACCCATTCAGGAGTTTCCTATCCGTGTACCCAAACTCTGCATTGGAGACCTGGACTTCTCAGATCTGGGGGAGGACGAAGACGAGGACATGCTGAATGTGGAGGCTGTGGAGGCTGTGAAAGGGGTCCCACCCCCACCACCCCCACTGCCTGTGCTCTCTGGAGGCCCCCCGCCTCCTCCGCCCCCACCCCCCCCACCCAACAAAGGCTCACTCCCACCACCTCCCCCTCCAGCCGCCCCCCTTCCTCCCTCAGCACCTGATGGTCTAGCCCTCCCCACCAAGAGGAAGACAGTAAAACTCTTCTGGCGGGAGCTAAAGCTGGCTGGGGGCCATGGAGGCTCTGGGAGCCATTTTGGGCCTTGCCCCACCCTATGGGCCTCACTGGAACCTGTCTCGGTGGACACAGCCCGGCTGCAACACCTGTTTGAGTCCCGTGCCAAGGACGTGCTGCCTTCCAAGGTAAACCCACCCTCGTCTGCAGGGTAACCCCAGTGGAGGCAGGAGGCAGTCAGAGCTTAAGGGTCTGACCTGCCACTCATTTCCCACATGGGGGAACCGAGGCAAAGAAAGGCGTCGGAGTCTTGTCTGAGGTCTCTCAACAAGGTATCAGCAAAGCCCTAACTAGAATCTCAGCTCATCCCAAAGTCTTACACATCCCAGATCCCTGGTTGTGGGGTGACCACACCATCTAGCCATTTCGAAGGGGGCTTTAAGAGTGCCCTCTTATATTGTTGCCCCAGCTAGTTCCTTTCCCAATCTCATACCACTCTTCTCAACTTTAAAGAAAGCTGGTGAGGGCCGCCGGACAATGACCACAGTGCTGGACCCCAAGCGCAGCAACGCCATCAACATTGGCCTAACCACCCTGCCACCTGTGCATGTCATTAAGGCTGCCCTGCTCAACTTTGATGAGTTTGCTGTCAGCAAAGATGGCATTGAGGTGGGGATACCAGCGAGGGCTATTGGAGGGAGGTGGGAGGTTTGGCCTTCTCCTTTGGTCAGTGGGCATGGGCTTGGTATTTCTACAGAGCAGTCCCCAGACCCTGGGGATCCCCCAGATGACCTAGGGATGAGTCCAAACCAACTCCTGAAGCCTCAGGCCAGGACTGAGGGGACTATGTGGGGTGGTGGCTGCATCCTCAGAAACTGCTGACTATGATGCCCACGGAGGAGGAGCGGCAGAAGATCGAGGAGGCCCAGCTGGCCAATCCTGATGTACCCCTGGGCCCAGCTGAGAATTTCCTGATGACCCTTGCCTCCATTGGGGGCCTGGCCGCCCGCCTACAACTCTGGGCCTTCAAGCTGGACTATGACAGCATGGAGCGGGTACTTGGATTATGGGGGGGCGGGGCAGGAACGGGGGCAGGTGAGCACAAGGACCAGGTAGTTTGAGAGTCTCTCATCTCCCACTCCAGGAAATTGCAGAACCACTATTTGACCTGAAAGTGGGCATGGAACAGCTGGTACAAAATGCCACTTTCCGCTGCATCCTGGCCACTCTCCTGGCTGTGGGCAACTTCCTCAACGGTTCCCAGGTGAGTCGGAGCACACGAGGGCTGGTGGCCAGGGCTCTGGAGCCAGCCAGGCCCAGGCTCAGATGGGGTCCTTTCAGAGCAGCGGCTTCGAGCTGAGCTACCTGGAGAAGGTGTCAGAGGTGAAGGACACAGTGCGCCGGCAGTCACTGCTGCACCATCTCTGCTCCTTGGTGCTCCAGACCCGGCCTGATTCCTCGGACCTCTACTCAGAAATCCCTGCCCTGACCCGCTGTGCCAAGGTTAGCGCCAGCCAGAGGCTTGGCTAAGACCAGCCACGGCAATGAGGGAGCATGGCTTCCTGGGGCTGGCTCTCCCTCCCTGTCTGGGCTGTTGTGCTGGAGTGTGCCCAGCTAGGTGTCTGCGTGGGCTGTGTCCTTGGCCAGAAACACTCTTTCCTCTACTGGCCTGGCTACACACACCTACTGTCTTTGGGTCTCCGTTTAGCCACCACTTCCCCCAAGAAAGCTTCCCTGTTCCCCATTAGATTAAATGGACTTGTCTCCTGCATTAGACTGTGAGCTTTTGGAGGGCAGGAGGCAGGGCTTGGCTATCTGGGTCCCTAGGGCCCAAGCTGGCTGGCCTGACAGAGGCAGCCTCAGGTGGTGCCCTTCTGTGGGGGGACAGCATGCATACCCCCTGCTTTTCCAGGTGGACTTTGAGCAGCTGACTGAGAACCTGGGGCAGTTGGAGCGTCGGAGCCGGGCAGCTGAGGAGAGCCTACGGAGCTTGGCCAAGCATGAGCTGGCCCCAGCCCTGCGTGCCCGCCTCACCCACTTCTTGGCCCAGTGTGGCCGTCGTGTAGCCATGCTGCGGGTGGTGCACCGCCGTGTCTGCAACAGGTGGGCACACGGGCCAAAGAGGCAGGACTGCCACCAGCATCCCTCAAACCCCACGCAGGATTCACCATCCCTCCTTACCCCGACCTGCTTAGGTTCCACGCCTTCCTGTTGTACCTGGGGTACACGGCCCCGGCGGCCCGCGAGGTGCGCATCATGCAGTTCTGCCACACGCTGCGCGAGTTTGCACTGGAGTACCGCACTTGCCGGGAACGGGTGCTGCAGCAGCAGCAGAAGCGTGCCACATACCGTGAGCGCAACAAGACCCGGGGCCGCATGATTACGGAGGTGGGCACCCTTCCAGGTTTGGACTGCCACCCCCTGTGGCTTCCTTCCCCCGCTCCCAGCTCATCCTTCTCTCCTCTGCAGACAGAGAAGTTCTCAGGTGTGGCTGGGGAAGTCCCCAGCAACCCATCTGTCCCAGTGGCTGTGGGCAGTGGGCCAGGGCGGGGTGATGCCGACAGTCATGCCAGCATGAAGAATCTGCTGACCAGCAAGCCTGAAGACACCACACATGGCCGCCGCAGCAGAGGTGGGACCTGGGGCCACTGGGAGCAATGGGCTTTGGGGTCACCTTGACCTGACTTCCCCATCTGGTCTCCCTTAGGCATGGCCCAGAGCGGCTCCCCAGTCATGCCGACAGCAATGGGGTCCTCCATTGCACCCCCAGAAGAACCCCCAGGCTCCGGTTTACCCAGTGACACTTCAGATGAGATCATGGACCTGCTGGTGCAATCAGTGACCAAGAGCAGTCCCCGTGCCTTAGCTGCTCGGGAACGCAAGCGTTCCCGGGGCAACCGCAAGTCTTGTGAGTACTCCCCAAATGCCCACTACCCACCTTAATCCCATCAACCCCCTTCCAACCCTGCTCTGTCCCTGCAGTGAGACGGACACTGAAGAGCGGGCTCGGAGAGGACCTGGTGCAGGCACTAGGACTGAGCAAGGGTCCTGGCCTGGAGGTATGAAGGCGCCGCCTCCAGGGCACCTACCTGTCGGGGCCCCAGCCTGCAGTACAAGAGACTAGAGAGTGAGGAGGGATCAGCAGAATTTGGGCCTCTTCTCAACCCCAGGGCCACTCTGTGCCCAGTGGACAGTGCCTTGAGCAGTATTAGCTGTGCGTGCCTATGTGCAAGAGTGTGTGTGTGTGTGTGTGTGTGTGTGTGTGTGTGTACACACGTACTTGTATGAGCTCCCCAAATATGTGGAGTATAATAAAGTTTTCCTAGCCAACCCGAGCATTTTCCTGCTTTCGAGGTAGCCACCACACTTGGTCTGTAGCAGGAGGCTAATACTGGCTACAGTACAGCAGGACTGGCTCTCCCTGCCTCGCCCTTCATTATCACCCACACAGCCATCAGCCACATTCTGAGCCATTTATTCAATAATCCTATACCTTAGACTGCTTTTGGGCCTGGACTAGGCAGGCCCTCCTTGCTCCTGGCATGGGGGCCATGCAGCCTGTGGCCGAAGTGTCAGGGGCTATAACCGCTTCATCTGCCGCCGCTCCTGTCGGCGCTGCCGTTTCTCATTGTGCTCTGGTGCTGGGGTGCCACCGTCTGCTATGAACCAAGGGCCCAGCACATTCACCCAGAGGAGGTAAAGGGCCCGGCCCGGAGCCTAGGACAAAAAAGGTAACTTGAAGCCAGGTGCAGGAAATGAAAGAAGAGAAGGGTTAAATACTCCAGCCCCCTCTTGGGAGCCCTACAGTCCACGCACCAGAAGCCAGAAGGACCAGATGTAGAGGGAGAAGCAGCTGAGCACCTGCACGATGGCTGTCAGTAGGATCACATCCTTAAGGTGCCTGTGGATAGAAGGGAGGCTGCAAGGGCCAAAAATAGTAGATGGGCCCCAGTTCATCTCCCTTCTACCCTCTTCAAGTTGCGGGCAGTTGTGGGTCTTGGGCTATCTGGGCCCCAAAACCCCAGCCCTGGGGCCGCTCACCTGGGCTGGCAGCGGGGGACACTCACTCTGCCATGCCCTGCTCCATGTTGAGATCCATTCCACCATCCATCAGGGCCCCATCCTCAGAAAAGGCTGCCCGTGCCATCGAGCTCATAGAGTGGTAGCTGGCCCCATATACTGCCAGACTGAAAGCCAGGGCCATCTGTAGAATAAGAATGGTATCAAAGGCCAGCCAGTAATCCTATATGCTTATCCACTTCCCAGGATAGGGGACACTTACCCAGGCCCAAAATGAGGCAGATGAGTAGAAGAACACCAAGGTCACAAGACAGTAAATGGCCTGTAAGCAGATATATGATCAGGCTGGGATCAAAAGCTACCCTAAACCACGGGCCTTCCTCCACTCTGACCAAGAGTTAGGCCAGGCTGTGGAAAGAGACAGGCTGTTTCTCATAGGGTTGGTGGGAGAAAGGGGTCTGTTCCCTGAGTCCCTGAGTCCCCAGACTCCCCTCTGATATGTCAGTCCAGGAAAGAAGGCCCTGTGTATCTGGGATGGGAAGGATGGGCTCAAGTCCATCTGAGACTCAAACCCTCCTTTCATTTTTGGTTGTTTTGTTTTGACTACTCTGCACTTTCTTTGGGCTGGGATCCATTCTCATTTTTTTTTTAATTTTTACGTTTTTTAAAAGATTTATTTTTTTTTAAGATTTTATTTATTTATTTGAGAGAGAGAACGAGATAGAGAAATCATGAGAGGGGGCAGGGTCAGAGGGAGACGCAGACTCCTCGCTGAGCAGGGAGCCCGACACGGGACTCGATCCCAGGACTCCAGGACCATGACCTGAGCTGAAGGCAGTCACTCAACCAACTGAGCCACCCAGGCGCCCCAAGATTTTATTTATTTGACAGAGACACAGAGAGAGAGGGAACAGAAGCAGGGGGAGTGGGAGAGGGAGAAGCATGCTTCCCTAGGAGCAGGGAAGGACCCTGGGATCATGACCCAAGCCAAAGGTAGATGCTTAACAACTGAGCCACCCAGGTGCCCCTCATTTCTTTTCTCTTTTTTTTAAGATTTTATTTATTTGAGAGAGAGAGAAAGAGAGAGAGCATGAGAGGGTCAGAGGGAGAAGCAGACTCCTGCTGAGCAGGGAGCCCAACGCAGGACTCCATCCCAGGACTCCAGGATCATGACCTGAGCCGAAGGCAGTCGCTTAACCAACTGAGCCACCCAGGCGCCCCATCCCCTCATTTCTTTTTAATTGTAGTTTTCTTTTGGAAAACTACACATGGCTGTCACATACCACCACCCCCCACCCACCCCCAGCCCCACCAGAGCTGACTGTGGGATCTCGGGTGGGCAAAGTAGCAAGGAGGTAGGTACTTACATTGGCCCCCAGTATGATCCGCAGATAGAACTTCAGAGTCTCTCTGTTCTCTTCAAATATCTGCTTCTTCCCTCTCGTGCCCACTTTGCCCTTGGGCTGCAGAGGGATGGTAAGATGCTGTCAGAGCCCTCCTCAGCCAGGGTCCTCCTTACCCTCCCCCCAAGTCTGGTTAGGTACAGACCCTATTACACCTGCACCTAAGCCAGATCCCCATGTGCTCAAATCAAGCACAATCCTTGGGATACCCACCCCTCCTCCCGTCCATCCTGCTTAGGGCTGACACCATCACCCCTACCGATGATCGCCTCCCGCTCACCCTGGAACAATCCAATACTAGGCTGATATCTCCTGGCTCCGCTGGTAAGGTCCAGCTTTGGGCTGACTACCCCTTCAAGGGGGACTCCCGAGTGGCGCTGAATGGTGCGCCCCTCCGGCCTCTGCTGGAGTAGTCCAGATCTCGGCTGACGCCCACCCCTTTCAGGCCCCTAAGGTCTCCGACCAGGTCTGGTACAGTCTGGTACTGACGCCCACTCCCCTCCCGCACCGCTTCTCGTATGGCGGTGCGCCGCTCCATTCCCCCGCGCTAGCTCTAGTAGGGTCTGGCCACTGCATGGCGCCCCCCTCTGGCGGACCCGCTTCCTTTGATATCCTTCTTCTGTTTTCAGTCTCCCGGCCCCGGGAATCCTCTGCCGTTGCGAACCCCGCCCGACCCGCCCTCCTTACCGCCATGGCGCGACGCAAACACCCAGCGAGAAAAACAAGGGAGAGCGACCGAAACCGCGGTCAGTAGGTACCACATCGGCAGCACAGGCACTTCCGGTGCAGACCCAAATCGTCACAACTGTGACGGAAGTGGGAAGGGTCCACTTCCTTCCCAAGGCCCGCTCCCCCCGAGTTGCTAGGACTACACTTCCCAGAAGGCCTTACACGGGGGCGGAGGCGGCGGGGATGCGATGGCGGAGTCGCTGCCCCTGGAGGTGAGAGGAGGCCTCCCTCAGGCCTGGCTTGGGACAGGCTCCGCCCTCGGGGTCTCGGGCTGGGGGGAGGGGCTGTCAGACAGCTCTCCAGGCTCCCCGGCGGAAACAACCTGCCAGAGAAGGACCTGCAGGCTATGGGTAACGGCCCCGCCTTTGGGCCACCCCGTACCCTTAGCTTGGGGGAACCATCCTCTCCTTCCCGGTCGGCCCCAAGAGATGGCTGCCCTGTCACCTCAGCGAGGACAGGGTCTCTGCCTATTCCCTTCTCTAGCGATGGCCGCACCCACCCCCCTCAGTTCTGGAAGATGACCGTTCCATCCCCTCGTCCCGGAAGGGTAACCGATCTTATCCTCCTTGGCCCCTTGGGATGATCACTCCATTCCCTCTGCCGCGAAAGACGGCTGCCCCCTCCCCCTGGCGGTGGGAGACAGATTGCCCCTCCCATCAACTCCGGCCACAGTCGCTGGATTACTTCACCGAGGACAGGACTGCGCCCCACTCCCTCGGTCCCTAGTGATGGCTGTCCCTACCTCCTTCACCCCATGGGATGTTTGTTCCTTTTCCTTAGCCCGGAACAAGACCACTCTCCCGCCATTGGCCGGAGAGAGAGAACAGATTTTGTTCCCAGTGGCCTCTTGGGATGGCCTCTCCGTCCCTTTTGCCTTGAGAGTTGGCAGCTCCCTCCTGCTGCCCACCGGAGACAAGCCACCCTTTCCTCATTGGCCCTGGAAGGTGCTCCTTCCCCTTAGCAAGAATAGGGCAGCTCCCACCCCCTTTAGCCCCCTACCATGCATCCTTTATCTCCTGGGCCCCAGAGGATGTCTACTTACTACAAAGATCCCAGGAATGACCAGTCATATCTCAGTTGTAGCCCCTTAGGATGGGGTTCATGGGATGGTGACACCATCCTTACCATTGCCTCCTCTTCCCCCTAGAAAAGCCACCCCCTTCTCAGCTCAAAGAATCATGCTCCCTCTTCTCAGTGAGGACAGGTTTATTGCCCTCTCTCGTTGCTTTTTGGGTTTGTTGCCGAGCCCCAGAATATAGGATGGCCAGTCTTAACTTGGCTCAGACAGGCTTCCCTGCCTCCCACAGGTTGGGGGCTTAGTCAGTCCCAATCCCATCAGTGTTCTCTTCCCCCTGTCTTGCTTTCGGGCCCTGAGGCGGTTCTCCCCAGGCCTCTCGGTAATAATCTGTTTTATCTTCCCCACTCCTTCCCTGAGCAAAACTTTGGTGAAAATTGAGGTAGAGGGTTTTGATGAAAATAGAGATAGAGCACTGTCCATCTTTAATTCAAACCAGTAAGTATTGGCTGAGTACCTTTTGTGTGCTAGGGATCAAAGAAAGGAAGAAGAGGTTAGAATGGGCTGGTGAGGTCAAGGTTAAGAAAGGGCATTCCTGGAAATCGGCCTACATAGGCAAAAGGTAATAGACATGGTATGGTTGTAGGACAGTGGGAAGACTGAACTGGGGAAGCTCTGGGATCAGGGGTCCGGTCAGGCGTAGGGCCTGGCAGGGTCTTGCTTAGGGTCTTGCTGACCCAAGAGTATAGAGATTTTGTCCTGAGGGTACTGGGGTACCCTGAAGGTTTTCATCAGGGATGTGCTAAGACTAAAAGCTGTTTTTTTAAGGAAACTAACCTTGCACAGTGTGCAAAATGACTAGCAAGACTGAGCCTGGAGGCAAGGAAGTCAAGTGGGAGATTGTAGAAAGAATCCAGGTCTGGGGTGATAAAGATCTGGGCTACTGAGGTGCTAAAATTTCGAAGGTAGAAATATTAGTAACAGCAATCCAGCAACCATTTATGGAACATCTACTAGGTATCAAGCACATCGTAACTATTATATATAGTATGGAAACTGAAGCTCAGAGAGATCAGTTACCTTGCCTGAGGTCACATAGGTCACACAGCTTGGAAGTAGTA